ACCAGCTTTATCGATAAAGTTTTAGGTTTTGTGTGGATATACCGCTTAGATAATTCAGCAAAGGTTTGGGATCCCAAGTGGAATCATACTTGGGTCTAGCCGGCCTTAATCGAGAGGCCCCTTTAAGAAATCGCTTCAAATTAGTGTCCGATGCTATATTGTTTGGGAGAATCAGAGAGAGGGCTGACCGGTGGGAATTAAACGTACCATATTTAAACGGGTGATTATCAAGAAGTTCTTGTAAAAAGAGAATAACTTCGCTAGGAACAGCCTTGAAAACAGAAACATTTCTTTTGTGGCAAAAATCCCACCATAATTTATAGGATGCGTTATACTGCCTCATTGTGGCCTCCGAAATTGAGGACAATGTCGTTTCCACTGCTGATTCGGGAACCCCCTTTTTTACAAGTGCCGTGCTGACAATCTGCCGGCAACCAGGGTAAGCTGCCTCCGGAGTGGATGCTCTTTCCTAAAAGGAGACAACAAAAGATTATCATTGGGGTTGAAAGTGATTATATCACCTATTAATAGTTTTTTAAACAACGGGTACCAAGGCTGTACTGTCCAGTATGGTACTACCACGATACCCTCTGCCTTGTCTTGGATAATCTTCTGAAGCGTGCGTAGGATTAACGAAAAAGGTGGAAATGCATAAAAAGACCACCGGTTCCAGTTCACGGTAAAGGCGTCAACTGCTATGGATCCTGGATCTTTCTTCCAAGACACATAGTTTGCACATTTATTATTAATTCTAGAGGCGAAAAGATCTACCTCCGGTTTTCCCAGAGTATTTACGATACACTCAAATGCCTCTGCTGATAGCTCCCACTCTGTTTCCATAGCAGTTCTCCGTGATTCAGAGTCTGCTTCACAATTTTCCTCTGAAGGTATATACGACGCAAGAAGCCAAATGTTTCGTTCTTCACACCACGACCATATTTTTCTGGCTAATTTGCTTAAATTCGGATACTGAACGCTGCCCATGCGATTAATGTATGATACGGCGGTTAGAGTTGTCTGCCCGTACTAAAATGTTACAGTTCGATAGATCCTGCGCAAAGCATTTCCAGTCCGAAAAATATGGCCTGGAAGCTCTAAATAATTAAATGTGGTGTTTTTATCCCGCTCTGACCAAAATCCGTGAGTCCGATCTGTCCACAGCAGGCGCCCCATCCAGTTGTGCTTGCATCGGTATATATTTCAATAGGAAAAGTGTCATGCCTAATATCGTTGTAGGTTGTCAAAATGTTATTATCCCACCAATACAGGTCGTCAGATAAAGTAGCGTGTGGGACCGACATGGTGGCATTATAATTACCATGATTTTGTAGCAGAGCCAGAAATTTTTCCCTCTCAAACTGTTTGACATACAGCCAACCATATTTTACTGCAGGGCATGCCGAGGTTAAAACTCCAATGAACTTAGCAAATTCCCTGATTTTACATTGTTTTTTGCATGTAAAAATCTGAATTAACGATTTTATTTTTAATCTTTTTTCCATTGGAAGTTCCAACCTTAAAGTCTGGCTGTCAAACATAAAACCTAAAAACTTCTGGCTCGTACTTGGTGTTAGCCTGCATTTTTCATAGTTAATTAAGAAACCCAAACTCTGTAGAAGCTGAACTGTAAATACAGTGTTCTTTTGACAATCATCAAAAGTATCGGCTATAATTAAAAAATCGTCAAGATAATTGACACAAAAAATTCCATGTTCTCTAAGAATCGTAATGACTGGTTTTAAAAGCTTGTGAAACAGAATGGTGCTACTGACAAACCAAATGGCAAACAACCAAATTCAAACAAATCTCCCTCAAAAAAAAAACAAAAATTAATTAAATCTTAAATATTTTCTATGTCGCTTATCTATAGAAATTAAGAAATAAGCGTCTTTTATATCTATTGTAGTCATAAAGCTATTACTAGAAATCAATTTTGTGGCTGTCCGATAGTCTTCCATCTTAAAGTGAGGAGGTGTTATAAGTTGATTTAGTTGTTTAAGGTTTAATATAAACCGTTTTCCACCATTAGATTTATTGGTAAGAAAAATACCAGATAAAAATTGGTTTGGCTGGGGCTGGCATTTAACGACTGCACCCTTACTAAGCAATTCTTTAATTGCCATAGCCATTTGGCTTCGTTCCTCTGAAGAAAGATGCCTTGATTTCGGAGACAAAAACTGTGAGGGAGTACATTTAAATGGAATGACATAACCACTTATGGAAGACAAGACAGATGGGTTTTGGGTGATATTTTGCCATTGTTTATAAAATAACTTTAGCCTTCCTGCTGACTTAATATGACTCACCTCTGAAATCAGCGCTTCTGATGAGGGTATTGACTCCTCCGTATCGGGGCATGCCCTTTGTGTGGTCTCGTTTCCCGCTTTGGACGGACCGGGCGCCCCCGGTTTAAAGGACCGGATGAGCCACCTCGGCTAGTGTATGGTCTGGATGTCTGTGATCGGCCGGTAGCCACCCCTCCCCCTTTTTTAGAAGCGGAAAAGGTAAAACTCTGCGTTTGGGGACGAAGGTCCTTGGCCGTCCTTTCCAATGTTTTAGCTTCCTTGACCTTTTCAGCTAATTCGTTCCCAAACAAGTACACCCCTGGAACACTAGTCTCTACTACATCCTTTAGTGACTTGCTTAACATGGGTAAAATCAAGGTACGTCTAGTCTGAGAAATGTCAAAAAATAAATTTGAAAAAAATTGTCCAGTTTCCGTAAGGAATGGCAAAATCTTTTCACGCATAGTTGGCGAAATATTCTGACCCTCTTCCAAGACCGCGTTAAGACCTTTGCCCAATGACGACAGGCCTCTGCCCAGCTGGTCTTGAAAATCAGCATGACATGAATCCCTTTTTATATAAGCCGCCGAAAGACAAGGTAAAATTTCCTTGTTGACCAAGGGAGGTATCAAGGCCTTACAATTTTCTGGGACGCAGCTAGTGTTCATTAATTGTTCCTTTTTCTCCTTAGATAGGCCGGATGTTAAGATTTTTGACCACCTAGCTGTAAGGGCCTGATGCAAAGTGTATCCATTAGCCTTAGTTTTATTCGGATCCTCACCGAGTAGGTCTAACACTTCAGTCGGCAAGGAGACGTCGTTATGAATAATTAACGGAGGGGTGCCAGCCGTTTGATCGTTTAAATTATTCTTATCATTCAGAATGTTTGTCGCGCCGCCCGGGCCGCGATCCACATCCATTGCATTGGTAGCCACGCCGTACAGACTATGGTCTACGCTAGGCGATCGCCGCCTATCTGGTGTACCATAATAAGACGCCGAGCCGCGCGGACTGCGATCGTCATAACCAGAACCAGAGCGTCGACGATGACGACTGCTTGACCTTGAATCCACCGAGGATCCACCGCCACCGACGTTTGCATTAATAGTGTTGGCTATTGGGCCAGTACGGCCCACGCGCCCGCTAAACGAGCGCGCGCGATGAGATGACTGAGAGGGGGAACGCCGCTGACGCCGCGCCGTGGCGATCGCGACCTCGCTCGTGATGCTGCCCTCTCTTTCTCAAGTCTCTCTAGCCTTCTCAAAAGCTCCTTCCGTGAAACATGGCGTTCTCGAGAAGAAGACCGACTTTTTCCCTTTGTTTTTCCCATAATATCTAGCTAAAGAGAAAACACAAAAGCGCTGATGGAGGATGATAATTCTCGATCAACGACAAGGTAACAAGCTTGTATTGTAAGATTATAGAAATAATTACTTGCTGTTTTAATTTCGGCCTTCGTAAACAAGCATAAAAAGCGAAACTTCCGCACTGCACATGCACACAGAAACGAATGAAGACGGATCGCGGAGGAAAGGAGCGACAGGAGAAAATACTTTAAACATGTGTGAGCACACGCGCCAGGGGCGGACTACATAGTAAATAATCAACTGATGTCCTGGGACCAGATTCTGAAAAATAATTAATAAATTTAGAAATAAAGAAGGTCAATTTTTAATATTAAAAACAATTATACGCAATAAAAATAGTACGAATCCGATATCCTATCAAGGACTTTCACAAAATATACTTTCTAGAACAGAAATTTTAACAGAAACCACCTTAAATAAAATTAAAAATTTATATCCTCATATACGTAATAAACGAGGATTAGTAAATGTTGTAGGTAAAGTCAATAAATGGCTATTCGGAACATTAGACGCAGACGATGGAAATAGATACGATTCAATAATTAATCAATTAAAAACGATTAAAAGAAACTAATCAATGAAGTCAATTTACAAATATCTCTTTCAAAAGGGTTGATTGATAACTATAACAAAACAATAACTACTCTAAGCAAAAACCAAGAAAATCTTCAAAACGGACTAAAACTCTTCCAACACTCTGTAAATAAAGAAATCGGTAATCTTCAAGAATACATTAGTGTACAAGGAATACTTTCTCAAATTAATTTAGACTGTCAGAACATCATTACATTTCTAGATAATATAGAAGATGCCGATTATGTTTGCTAAATTAAATACACTACATAATTATATACTTCCTAGCTCAGAGCTCCAAAAAATAATAAACTATTTAGGTACTCTATACGATAAAAATCAAATACCTATATTTAAAAACATTTTATCTTACTATCAGTTCTTAGGAACACAAATAACTTTTTCGAATACGAAACTAATTTTCGCTATCCATATTCCGATCGTAAAACCTGATACCTTTACCTTTTATCATTTATTTCCTATAACACAAAACTACCAAGTTATTATCCCCAAATACCCTTATATGGCACGAGCAGACTCCAAAATACAGTTTCAAGAAACC